GGATCTGGTTCGAGGGGGGGAAGGTCTGGATACACGTCTCGACTTGGATGGAGACTGAGGGGTGGTTTGCTGGTCCAAAAACGCACAGAAGGAAGAAAGGTTGGCGGATCCTGGATCACGTGGTGAAGATTCAGATGGTGTGGAAGGGGAAGACGAGTCTGAAAGTGAAAAGAGAGAGGGGGGGGGGGGGGTGCCCTCTCTACGAGAGCGTTTACCTATGTCTGCTGGACTAAGAGTAGGTGAACTTCGGGCTCGTTTAGGGGTTTGGTTCGGCAGTGTCGTGGCTCTAGATGGTGCAGGTGTAGTGTCCATTTCAGTTGGTAGAGATATGGTTACTCTGGTTTTTGTTTCGTTGATTGTTTGGTAGAACTTGGTGATTACAGCTTGAGTGAGACGATTCCCATAGGAGCGACGGGCCCAGGACAGGGCATGAGAAACGATGCGGTCGACGGCAGGTGATGAAAAAGACTTGGTACGAATAGTGGTCAGCTTCTCTTGAAGTGTGTGGTGTGGTTTGGCAATGGTCGATCAGGACCTGCGTGACCTTAGAGAGCCATGTCCGATTGAGGGATCTAATATTCGCGTCAATAGCTGATGTTTTCATTGCTGGACGGATCAAACTATCCAACTCAGAGACTTTGCGTTTGAAGGTAAACGCTGGTTGGCCTTGCTGTTGAAGGGTAAGGATTGCCAAATGATGGAGGCACTGCAAAACTTGGAAGAACACCTTCACAAAGGGTTCTTCCTCCTTATGAGTGGGGACTGGTTGGCGTCGGTGGGCTGGTAGTCGTTCCTGTTGTTGGTCAGGTCGATGGTTACCTCTTGATTGGTAGGTATTGTGGGTAGGTCGGCGATGGGGTGGGATATAGCTGGATGGGTTGGTTGGTGGTCGGCGATTGGTAGGTGGTAGAGGTCGATAGAAGACAGGGCCGTTGTAGGGTACGTGATATTGGTTTGGTTGACGATTAGTGTCTGGCTTCTTGCCAGTGGTTGTTGTAGTTGGGGAGCATAATGAAAATAACTTGAGGTTTGAAAGGGAATGTACAGCGGATGTAACAGGAGGAAACTGTATATGCTAGCGTGAAAATGTGGGGATCAAATTATGCAAATAAGTCAAACTGGGTTTGAGGATATATAAAGTAAGATGAAAGTTATGATGAAAAATGCAAAAATATATATTTAGGTGATAAATAACAATGTTGTGAAAAATTATAACAAGTAAAACAAAAACTTACGCAATTGACACGAACCGGTTTTCGAAATATTATCCTTTTTCAAGTGTCGAGGAATGGTTATGTAATGATGTTGAATTTGCGATTTATATAGTAATCAGTTAATACAGGTTTTTGATATTCTAAAAATTATTGAGTGAATCATGTCATATCTTTGATCAGTTGAGAATTAGGATTATTTTTGATTTCTTAATTAGTTGAGTCCTATCTTTGATCAATTGAGGATTATAGAAATATTGGATTAGATTTTGATTATAACTGAGTAATTATTCAGGAGGATTAGATTATCTCAGAGTACAATTTACATAAATGAAAAACATAAATAAATAGAAATCAAGAATACAAAAATATAAAATAAATAAACATGAGAAATATTTGATAAAATAAGCGGGATTAGTGAATTATAAATTGATTAGAACTAACTTTGAATTTTGATTATACCCGAGTAGTAATTTAAATGGATGGATTATCTCGGAGTATAATTTACACGAAAGAAAAACATAAATAATGGCAATTAAATTTACTTGGTAAGATTAAAAGATTAATGCAAATTTTGTTGAAGAAAGTTTGTTATATGCACGAGAAACAAATGTCAAAATCCTAACATATACAATATATACAAAACAAATAAAATATATAAATATAAGATGAACTAAAATATACCAAAGTCAAAATAAATTGTCTGATCTGGCCTGGCACGGACAGTATTAGATATCGGGAAAGGGAGGGGTTGATTCTCCCAAATGTACAGGCCTAGGGTGGAGCAGACACTTTATTTAGAAATTAGGATTAAGGGTCTTGATATTGGGTTTTCTTCTGTTCTTATTCTGATCTGAAATTAGAAAAAATAACTAGCCCAATGGGCGAGAAGTATAGTATCTGTTATGTACTGATTGTTTTTAGTTTACTATGAACAATATTATCACTTAAGTTCTTATTTTTTGAATATGCAACTATCATTTTCTGCTTATAGACATGGGGGAATTTCTCTTGAAGGCTATTATAGTGGGCATGAACTATCTTGCTTGCTCGATTGCTGGTTGTATTAAACGGGACAACAAAGGGTGCTATGCCTACATTATGATGAATATTTAGTCCTATAGGTCTTGCTGTATTCAATGTCTCAATCCAATGGGCTTCCCTAGATTGACGGAATTTGGTAGTTTCATCTTCGGGCAAGTCAATTTCTATACGCTCAATTGGGATTAGGGCGAGATCGTCTATTGAATGGTCGTCGAGGTTGAAATGATTAGAAACAGGCTTGTCTTTCTTTAATTTGATGTCTGACCTATGAGCATTAAAGCGAGTTCGTAAATTATTCTTAGTTTCTCCTACATATTGTTGGGGCATTTCTTGCATGAAATTAAATATATTACATTCGAATGTTCACTTGTTAGATGTTCCTGGATTGGGTACCTTTTATTCGTAGAGTTGCTTACAAAATAATGAGTTTCTGATATAAAGGGACATGTTTTGCATCTACTGGACAAACATGGAGCACTTCTTAAACATGGAGGTACTTCGGCATAAAGTCTGTTTTTATCTGTGCTAAGGTGGAATTTTTTATGTTTCGTAAAAATCGTTTAGAGTATCCACGCTCTTTCAGTTTTGAGAAAACAATCGTACAGGCTTGGTTGAAATCAGAAGATCTTGTACAAATTCGATGAAATCGTAAAACTTGTGACTTAATTATACCAGAAACGGTATGTTTTGGGTGAAAGGAGCTCTTGTGCAAGAGTTGATGAGTATCACTTTCTTTGAAATACACTTTAATATCCAGTTTATTTGTTTCTGCTATGGAATCTCCCATAAAGACTGTGGTATCGAGAAAGTCTATGCTTTTGTCACTTACGTTTGCGGTTAGTTTGATAGAAGGATGGTGGTTGTTGAGAATTTCAAAGAATTCCCAAACCTGTTCGATAGAATAAGTCCAAACCATTAAAATGTCATCCAAAAAGCGTCCGTAAAAAAGTGGGTCAAATGGACAGAGGGGCAACACCTCACGTTCCCACGTGCCATGAAAAGGTTTGCGTACGAAGGGGCGAATCGTTTGCCCATTGCTGCCCCTGAAGTTTGTAAATATGTTTTACCATTAAATGTGAAATCGTTTCGACTAAGACAAATCTCTAAAAGCTGTAGAATTGCATCGTCGGGTCTGTTTGGATCTGGGTTTCTATTAAAAGCTTTACGAACTGCCGTTAAAGCAGTAGTGTTATCGATATTGGTATACATAGAAGAAACGTCGATAGAAATTAAAATGACATTAGAGGGAACTCGAAAATTTTTTATTTTATTGACAAAATCGGTTGTGTCTTTAAGGTAGGCGCGATGTTGACATGCTAGAGGTAGTAAGAAATGATCAATGTATTCTGACACTGAATATGACTCACTACCACAGTCAGATATAATCGGGCGGCCTTTAGGGATTTTATTCGAGATAAACCACTCCTTGGTTGGATTCTTATGGATTTTAGGCAAAGCGTACAAATGTCTCTCGCGACAATCAGGTTTGGCAGACAGATAGTCATATTGTTTCTGTTTGAGATAACTAGTTTTGACTAAATCGGCAAGAATATTGTTAATCATGTTAGCAGTTTCTTTGAAAATTGGTTTCGGTAAAATGGCATAATGTTTAGGATTATTCAGTTGATTCTCTGCTTCTGAAACGTAATCCTCCCTATTCAGAATGACACAACATGAACCTTTGTCACTCTTTTTAATAACAATGCTATCGTCTTTAAGATAGCTTGCAAGAAGGAAACATACGGCCGCTGGTAGCTATATTTAAATTTGGTAGAACATCCTAAGCATGAAAAATGTAACCTTTCATACATTTCCTTCATGATTTTCGATAGGGCACATTCATAGGTTATATTTTGACAAAGTTGACGGCAGAATCCTCAAAGAATCGTGACCAATAGAACGTTTACAAGCAAATATGTCAAATTTCTTTGATAAACACATTGCAAATTATTTTAAAATTGACGTTGCCCGTGAAATTAAATTCAGTGCTTATATCCCGGAAGCCATGTCGATATTGAACATGTCATAACCTTGTGCTCCTGTTTTCTCTGAAGCAATAGACACATGCATTCTCATAAGAAACTTTGCTGACACTCCATGTTAGACTTGATAGAAAAATATCAAAACAAATTACTCGTTATGACGCTTGATTGCGATGGAGAACACAACGAAAGCAGCATTTCATTAAATGTTGTGATGTATATGGACGGTATATAAATGAGTAAGATTTGCGGTAAAGAATGGAAGCCATTAGAAAATCAAATCTTATTTTGGAATATTTACTTAGAAAGAATATGTTCTTACCTCTTCCATCCTCCTTGGCAAACCGATGTTGTATTTTGTTTACATCACCTCATTTCCGTTCAAATAGATCTTCAATCTAATTTCCACTCCCACAAAACGAAGTGTATCGGGCTTAGATTTATACCGGTTAATAAAACAGTGTCAAAACCCGTATTCGTCTACAATGAAGAAAACGATATTGAAATTGTAATCGAATTTTCATTAACAGGAAGAAGCTTCAGCAAAAAGTACTACTTTCGCAGTAACAGATGCAGTTTTATGTCTATATAATGGTCAAATTTATGAATTGACCCGATCTTTGCTTTACAGGGTTTGATTAATAGATCACTGAGACAAGGGAAAAAACTATTCTGCTGCTTTATCGATTATCACCGCGCATTTGATTTAATCCAAAGACCAAAACTAATATTCAAATTAGCTAAATCTGGAATTACTGGTAAAATGCATCAAATAATTTCTTCCATGTATGGAGGCATAACGTCATGTGTTCGTCAAAATTCAGAATTATCGGCATTTTTTCAAAACGACGTCGGTTTAATGCAAGGTGAGCCTCTATCTCCCTTTTTATTCTAGTTATACATAAATGATCTTGAGAATGAGCTCTTTGCAAACTCTGGAGAGCCAGTATACATCAAGAAACTTGCAATATTCTTGACATTGTATGCAGACGACACAACTCAGAAACTATTAATGGATTGCATGAAAATCTTAACACTTTGTACGGATATGCATGTAAATGGTCCATAGAGGTGAATGTTGAGAAAACAAAAATAGTTGTATTTAGAAAGGGAAACAAACTCCCGAAACATTGTACATGGTTATATAATAGTAAACCTACAGAGGTGAACAGTTTCAATTATCTGGGGACGAATTTATTTTATAATGGTAAATTTCTTAAAGCTCAGTCAATAATTTCATCTCAAGGGAGAAAGTGCATGTTTAATATACTTAATATATGTAACAAAAATTCACTAAATATTGAAGCTAAATTAAATGTATTTCATTCCTACGTCTCAACTGTTCTAAATTATGGTTGCGAAATATGGGGTTTTAGAATTTCCAAGGAAATTGAAATGGTTCACTCTGATTTTTTAAATTATATATTACATGTAAAAAGATGCACAATGAATTTTATAATGTATGCAGAGTTAAATAGATTCCCGTTATATATTACACACTATATTCAAATCATCAAATTTTGTTTAAAAGTTTTGACAAGTGAAAATTGTAGTTTACAATGTGTATATGAGGATATGAACGAAAACGTTATTACTAGCCCTAATTGGCTTGAAGAAATAAAGAGTCTACTATACTCTTTGGGTCTTGGTTATATATGGCATAATCCGCTTAGCCAAACTGTGTATAAAACCATTAATATTATAACATGTAGACTTAAAGATATATTTCTCCAAGAAATGTTTGCTTGTTTTGAGTCATCCTCCAATTGTTTAATATATAAAAATCTACCATTTCATTTTACATTACAATATTACTTATCCAAATCAATCCCAGATTCTTATCGCTATGTTATTTCTAAGTTTAGATTGTCATCTCATATGCTGAATATTGAAATAGGCAGGTATAGTTAAATCGCAAGAGAAAACCGAATCTGTATTTTATGTGATAAATTATCAATAGTGGACGAATATCATTTTATATTGGAATGTACATATCATAATGAGTTACGTGAGAAATATATTAAACGTTACTATTGGCACAAACTGTCAATGTTAAAACTAACAGAACGTTTATCAATACAAAATAAAAAGCAGCTTTGTAACCTTGCGAGATACTTCATTTGCTCTGTTAGGAAGAGAGACTTATAGATTAATGTTTAATGGTTATTATAATCCTATACTATACTTATCATCATGTTATATATATTGTTATTATTTATATAGTTTATTGTCTCCATGTTGTACATATTGTATATATTTATATATCATGCTGATGAGTCTAAATGGCTCTTTGCAATACTTACTTATGAATGACTGCGTACAATATGTTATAATACTCACCCATCTATTAAAAATGTTGCTTTCCTTTCAATAATTTTGTAAGAACGTAATTTCAGAAGTGCAAAATAAGTCAGACCAAGTGTGTCCTTTATTTTCTCCATATCTGTGGGGAAATGTGACCGAGGAAATTTATAACACCGGATTAGAATGATATGACAAACAGATCGGTTATTTAAACAAGCTTTTAGTTCACGGAGTAATCCAGTTGACTTGGAACGGAACAAGTCTCGCTGTATTACCACCATAATTTTAAATACATTTGACATCTGCGAATATAGAAATAAATTGGTATTTACTCGCAGTTTAATGTTGACAACTAAATCATGGGATACATAATGCTATGATGAGGAAAATTAATATTTACTCCATGTCTCCAATCTAAATATCTATCTACAAACTAATAGTTGAATAATATTCGTACATTTAAATAACTGGTATGTAAATCGAAAAAAAATATGGTAAATATTTTGTTTTTAGTTGGTAGTTGTTTACAACTCTCAATAAAATTAATATAATGGGAGCGATTTTGTTCGTGGCATTGAAGGACCTTACTCAGCTGAAAAAAAATTTCTATTCACGAAGAATAATATGCCAACAAAGACGCCCTTAATCACCGTATACCACGATCATTCCATGCCCTAATCTTGGTAACCACCATTTATTTAAATTATGCATTAAGTGATGCAAGCATCAAGTTAGTTTGATGTCGTGTGAGTGAACGCCTAATCAATCTGCCCAATTTGCCACTGAAAAATCCAGGACTTTTCCATGTCGACTCCTCCGACCTAAGTCACTGGCAGGGGGACACCAGGTTGAAAAATCCAAAGGTAAGATCTCGACCCATGCCGCGATAGAAAAGTTACCAATGACTACCGAGGGTAAAACCTATATTGTTAGAGTTACGAACTAAGACTCAAACTAGGATCTTGAAACCGGTCACATTTATTGATCATTTTTATTATATTTCACATATAAAGGCTTCGCGAGTAGTAAGATTTATTATATGTATATTATATTGTTAAGCAATAATAAAAAAAGTCATTATAGTTCTACAATACATTGTGTATATATATATATGCATAATGACCAGCTCGTCTTACTAAGATTATCGATAATAAGTAAATGGGGGATTTTAGACAATTTTACCTCGAAATTCTTAATCGATGCATGGTTTTAAAAGGAACTTCCCGCGAAAATGAGAATTGCAATAAAAATATTTTTTAATAGTACAGCATTTCTTATATTTCGGAATTTAACGATATATATAGACATTAGTTGTATGGACCATTCCATTCATTCTCTACACAATGGTACACCCATGCAATGCACTTGCAAGAGCTATCAGCAATCAGGCTAGTTTTTATAGTTTCTCCGATTTTAACTATATTATTATATTTTGTATATAATATTATACTTGTATTCTATAAGGATCGTGTACCTCATTACTGATTTTAATTTCGCCTTTTCTAGTAGTTTGATAAATGCAATTTGAACAATCTGGAGAAATAGTTTGTGGCTTTACACCAATAACGTACACAGTACACTACCTTTAAAATAATACTTTCTTGTAATAATCCTAACCTACAGTAAACATTTCATTTCGGATTAGGATATCAAGTAATATGAAAGCCTTCAGCTTTCTGTTATTAATATTATGGATATCATCTACCTGTGCCACAATGTAATTATTTTATTTTAATTTTATTTAATTTCACACCATTACCGTGCTGGACCATTGGTCCTCTCTTATTGAGAAGGCAGTACCAATTCTGAAAACAATCCTTTATTTTGAATTTTAAACTTTTTTTTTTGGTGATGCTTTGAACCTACAACCTATCGGTGTGTTCTGTTTCCAATATATGGATTTTTTCTCATAGTTATATCGTGTCTAAGTGTAACATAACCCGTTTTTGGTGCTGATGCTTCTGAATACATTTTCTTTTATTTTATTCAACATCACCTATGGTTGGAAAGCGTCCATTACATTGGATGCTTATCATGCTTTCCTGAGCAGGTTCCCACGACGAAAATTGATCAAGGATGCATTTGTTGATACACAGCAAGTATATGTAACCTTAATCGTGGAGAATGCCTTATTAATTTGATCATGTATGAGCTGGGGAAAATAATTTCCACATATTCCCGTATCATTTCAGTGATCATGCTTGTTATGTTCAAAGATCCAACAGTGTTGCCTACCATACAAGATGTGGAAGCTGGAGGCGATTTTTCAGATGCAAAAAACACAGGTATTACTTTTACCTAAAGACTTAAATTGGTTTTTGCGAATATCGTTAGCTAAGTTGATATAGAGCTCTTTTATGGTTCTTAACTCTGATGTCATGAGAGTGCTTCCAATGATATTATTAGAAAATAAAATTAACGCATGCTTTCCGCTTTCGTTTTGCTTTGAGGAGTGTACTATGTTAATTGCATATGAAACAGCTATGAGTTACCTTATTTTCAACTATTAATATTTATATATTCGATTATTTGACGGCTAATACTTTTATGACTTGAAAGTGAAGGTGCTCTTAAGATAAGGGCAAACATACCAGTTTGTCTCGTTATTAGCTAATTTGGGAGAGATTACGTCACGTGCAAAAAAAACAACCATAGAGTCGATTTAGCATTTCTAGCAGATTTGATCCATTTGGATCCTCTTAGTCCTGTTGCGTCTGCATAAAGTTTTTAAGATCAAGAATGGATCAAATGGACATTAGATGCCAATTAAATATTTTGCCACATTCCATCCATTGGCTGCTGCTACTGTATCGCCGATATGTTGTTTAGATTTCGGGTTTCGTTTTATGGTGCGAATCGTTAGTACTTGGTATATTTATTGATATTTCATTGATTTACTAAATACAATAGTTTATTATCTTCAGGACGTATTATTATTCACAGAAACAGTGTTGTTCAGGATGGAAGTTCGATGGGAACCAGAAATGTAATAAAGGTATTTAATATTGTTTGTTGTATTATGGGGAAGGTATGAAATGAAGGTATTTAATATTGTTTGTTGTATTATGGGGAAGGTATGAAATGAAGGTATTTAATATTGTTTGTTGTATAAAGGCGATATCACAGACTATTTTGTTCACTTGCAGTTATCCACATGATAGGTTTAAGAGCACCATTCGTCTCCATCAGCCCTATCAAGAGCAGAAAGGCGAATGTTAATGTCCATTTCATTTCTGATAATGTTAAAGTATTTTCATTGCCTATACATGTATTTTGCTGTAAAGGAAATATGGCTCCATAAGAAATTTGTCAACTTAAACAGATTAATACGGATATAGTACTCATTTCGCTTTTTACTTCAACTTCCAACTTTTACACTCTGGATTTGAAGCCTTACTTTATATAAAGGGTATGAATTGCGAAAACTTTTCACGACGATCTGAAGTTAGAACCTGCAATACAAAGTGTTTAAGCTAAATCCGTTTCTACCTGTTCTTCGCCATTAATTCCAAGGAAATATACTCGTAGATGTTATTCATAACATGGCATTTACAAATCATATACCGAAACTTTATATGTTGCCGGTCGCTATTTTTATTTTCAAAGACTTGATGAATATGTCAGAAATGGAGAAAATTTCTTACGTTTAGGTAAGTCTCTAGATTGCTAATTCAACCGCATACACCAAGTCCCACCTATAAATTTGTTTTACAACTTCATGTCCGTTAGTTAGTTAGTTGAAGACCCAAACAGAGTTGTACATATATGACGTGCCATATTGTAGACAAAATAGTATGCCGGTTTACCACTAGACGTTACTATATATTTACATGATTATAAGTTTGGTTCTTCCTCCCTATTATGTGTAATGGATTTTTCTACCCTTCTGGATATCTGGATTTCATTTTAAAATGCTTCATGTGTGATTAAATCCTGGTATTTAGTTCATGTACCGGACTTTGTGTAATTGTTGTGATCAGTTCCCTCCCTTGAACTATAAAACTTGATCAACCTTGTCATTATTCTTTATCTGCCATAATTGTTTTTGTGTACATCGAGCGACAAAGGCAGGCTTGACCCCAAACAGGACATTCTTTCTCTTCCCGACACCTGATACCACTTTTCATTATGAACTATTTCCTCATCTATGCTTGATAAATTTCTTCAAATGAAAAGTTCATTAGCTGCAAACATTCATACCATATCGAATCAGTCTTTATTTGATTTACAATACTCTACTTACAGTTATGGCTGATGATATATAGTTTTCACTGTTGATCTTATTTTAAATTACATATTCCAAGTAATTGTAAATTACACTCATAATCCCATTTAAATACGTCTGTGTTGATATATCAAAAGTCAAGAGTCTTGAGAGAGCAATAGAGCATGTATAGGATTGTTTGCCTATATTTATCTAACAGGAATACGGACATTTTATAACGTATATAAATTATATACTTTGTTTGAAAGGATAATATCATAAATGCTTTGGTTTAATCAATCTGTAACAAAAAATTAACGAGGAAGTGACAATTGCCTTAAAAACAGTACAATGAATAGTAGCAATCCCCTAACTAACAGGTGGGCAGTGTGGTTCTTGACACGTATTGATATGATTGTGTCATTTTCAAATAATGTTGGGTTTTTAAAGGAACACAATCCAACCCAAAACAAGAACATCTACTGCCTTCAGTAGAGAGATTTCAAAAAAGGTATATCAATTGTTACTACCAGTTTGATCAGGAAACTGGACACGGACACGTTTGTTTTTTATGTTTAAAACATTTGAAATAATGACCCCATCGCGCAACTCTGTAACGTATATCAATAGTTTTAAACTATAGTCATGATTTAAATACTGTGAGACATTTCCTTAGTAACGTCCGGTGAATATTTTTGTTTCAATGAACAATACCTCAGAAATAAACGAACCTGCACAACACTTTACGATCCTAACAATTAATCTAACTACAAATAGTGACCGTGTGTTTTATACAAGGGCTATCAGACAGTATGGAAGCATTGGGCTTATACATTTTACTATTATGGATTTTTAAGGTGCCTTTTTTGTAATATATCCCTTTTCCTTTTTGTAATTAATGTGATTTTTTTGGTTTTCAAAGATCAATCCGTTTACCTGCCTATATTTCTTATGTGTTAGTCTTACATAAATGTGATACGTTCAAACGGGTGTTCCCAGAAATCATACGGCATTATACATACATAATATCACAAGAACAACCATTCAAACAAAACCCGGATAGCCCTTGAACTACTTAGCATATTGTGTTATGATGGATTCTTTCTATAGTCTATATTATCAGACGCCACACACCATACAACTTTATTATGGCCCGAAGACAAAGTAACATTTTTTACTATTTTTCTTGATGATTATTATAGTAGATATGCAGTTTTAATATATTATTCACAATGGTTGGCTTACAAGCACAGGTCCTGTTCAGGTAGCTCATACAAATTAAATTGAAAAATATAGGTCACGTCCTTGTATTATTGTCAGAAACCGTGTTTACTATGAGCAAAGAGCTTTTTATATACACACTGTAGATGGGTGAAATGCAAGACACAGGTCATATGTTAATTAAGGCACGACGTCAGTTGTTCACTAAACAAATCAACAAACTTGCATATGCAACAGTAAGTCATTATAGTTGCAAAGCTATGGCAGTCAATATATCATATTACATCGTACTATCATGCCGTGTTAGCGACAGTTCATAAGATAAATTACCCAATAGGAATAAATAATCGAATAAATGTGTGACCTTTGACTAACAACTTTTTATCAGGACCTACTGTTTATTCAGGGTGGCAGTACCATGGAAACCAGATATGTAATAAAGATATTAATTGACACTCTGCGCCTGGGTTTGTCATTTTCAATATGTATTCTGGTATATTTATTTTCAGTGTATATTTGATTATCTGTGGTTTTTTATTTTTTATTAAAAAAATTGTCAGTTTTTATACGTCCCTGTCTGTCGGTCCGTTTACATTTCTTGTAGGCGCGATAGAGGCTACAGTTTGTATCCGATCTTGATGAAACTTGGTATACATGTATATATTGATGAGATCTCGGTCAAGTTCGAAATTGGTAATAATCGGATGAACTGTTTCAGAGTTATTGACCTTGACTTAGTAAAAACGCGTCAAATTTGCATTGTAGGCACGATATCTAGAGACTACAGTTTTTATCCGATCTTGATGAAACTTGGTATACATGTATATATTGATGAGATCTCGGTCAAGTTCAAAATTGGTAATAATTGGATGAACTGTTTCAGAGTTATTGCCCTTGACTTAGTAAAAACGCGTCAAATTTGCCTTGTAGGCACGATATCTAGAGACTATATCTGTATCTGTCTTATAAAACTTGGTATACATGATATATTGAACTCGGTAATAATCGGATTAACTGTTTCGGAGTTATTGCCTTTGACTTAGTAAAAACGCGTACAATTTGGCTTGTAGGCATGATAGAGACTACAGTTATCTGATCTTGATGAAACTTGGTATGCATGTAAATGTTGATTAGATCTCAGTCAAGTTCGAAATTGGTAATAAACATCGGATGAACTGTTTCAGAGGTATTGCCCTTGACTTAGTAAAAAGTATCATATTTCGATTGTAGGTATGATAGAGATTACCGTTTTTATCCAACCTAGATGAAACTAGGTATGAATTTATATGTTGACGAGATCTCACTCCAGTTCGTAATTGGTAACAATCGGATTAAGGGTTTCGGAGTTAGTGCCCTATACTTAGTAGAAACTTGTAAAATTCGGCTTGCAGGCACATAAAGACTACAGTTTTTATCCAATCTTGATGAAACTAGATGATTTTAAGATTATCTGAAAATTCATTATTGAGCCACTAAAGATTTTGTTATCATTTCTGACAGCTGGTAGTGGGTGTATGTTACTTTGCCTGGCAAGCTATCTTATGAAATTGAGAAAGATGGAACAAACTACCGAATTCTAGCATTTGTGAAGATATTTGGCGTCCTTCCCTAGCTTCCAAACAATCTCATTCTACATGCCAGGTTCTTATTCTTGTCCCGACAATCTTGCAATATTTTACAATAGTACGTGATCCCTCAATTTCCGAATGGACTCGTCCTATTCCCTCATTGAGATCCACAGCTACCCAAACTGTTTGCTTGATTCTATAATTTCACCATGGAGGGCTTTCATCATTTCAATGCCTATCCTTTCATTTGCAGACAACTTGTATTCACTATATTTTCAGCTTCAGGATTTCT